GAGAGAGAGAGAGAGAGAGAGAGAGAGAGAGAGAGAGAGAGAGAGCCAGAGAGAGAAAAAGAGAGAGAGAAAGAGAAAGAGATAATAGAAATACCCATAGAAGGAATTAAATATTCAGTACTGCCTTGGAGCACGAAGGAATGTTGAATAGCATAAATAATTTCTAAAAGTTTGACATCATAATGCCTTAAGTTCATTGTTCATTAAAAAAACAGCTGAAGTGATTTTCACATTGAGCATGCTGTTAACATTCACATACTCTGGAAAAAGAGGAAATTATTAAAAACTCAAGTAATCTAGGACTTAAATATATTTACCCTAGAATATGATACCAGGAAGTATGAGGTTTCATTATTTCTTGGTCCAATTTAATCTTTGCCTAGAGCAGCTATCAAGTTGCATGTAATGTATGTCTACGCACATAGAACAGAACAGAAAAAAAGGAAGACAGAAGAAAGAGAAAGAAAGAAAGAAAGAAAGAAAGAACGAAAGAAAGAAAGAAAGAAAGAAATTTTGCACAGCCATATCAATAAAATGGAGAATATTAAAGGGCTTTCTGCCTTAACAACAGAAATTTATAAGGAGCAAAACACTGTGACTTCATTGGGTGTTCACTGCAATTCAGTCTCACTGAAAATCTTATGGCATAAGCTTTCTGAGAGGTTTTGGCTTTAGTCTAGGTCTAGTGTAAAGATTAGTAGTGTTTTAGTCTCTTTGCTGTATTGTCTCTCTGTTGGCTTCCCTTTCCTTCTAGGTCTTGGCAAAAGGACAGTGTAAACTCTTTTCTGAGGATCCAAAATGTTTGTATTGGCACAGAATCCAGTGTGGGGGAGGTTTGGCCTTAAAAAAAAAATCATGAAACTAATATATACTGCAAGGTACCCTGGAGGTGTTGGATAATGATTTGACACCCAGGGAAATGATCTGTAAAAACACACTCACATATATGAGCCCCACACTGCCTCTTGCGCATTAAGCGGTAGAGCTGTCTAAAGAAATGACCCATTCTGCTGTCTCTGGGTGGAATCCCCTGAGTAATGCTTGTCTCTCAGGCAGGTTGCTTTCAGAAAGTTAGAGGTGGTTATTTCAGATGCTTACTGCTATGACAGAGACTCCAGCGGCGGTGCTGTTCGGCTTGGGGCCGGTGTTGAAATGCTTCTTTATCTTTCCAGCTACTGACAGCTGATGTTCATTTTCTGGGAGGCCATCATCCTGGAAGAAGGAATGGAGGAAGGGAGGGAGGAAGGGGGGCAGCAGGAAAGGAAGGAAGAGAAAATAAATGAGAATCATGGGAAATGAAGCCAGCTTCTCCTGGTCCTAGAGTGTAGGCTCAGAATTCAGGAGATGCAGACACAAGCCTTCTCGGGAGACCCTGTTGTTGGAAGTGCTTTTGAAGTCTTATTCATGTTCATAGCTGTTCTGTAATTAATCGTCTTGGTGTTACCTGAATCTCAGAGATTTGTTTCTAAATTGAGCTCTAACATATATGTTAAAGAGAAAGCTAATGTAGACACTTTCTCCTAAGGCCACATGCACACATTTGCCCCAATCCTAGCCCATCGTGTAGACCCAAAGCTAAAGACACTGGCCAACTTGGGCACTTTCAAGCTGCAAATAAACTTAGGTTTGTTCCGCCCCTACTCAACTGGCCATTCTAAAATCCCAGCCACCTTTTCAAGCAGAGGTTCTCCTTGAGTTTAACATGCTCCTTGCAGCCTTCAGAGCATTTGTTAGTATGACATATTCCACATTAGAGGTGTTTTTAGCTAAGATTTCTGGTCTGTCTTGGAGCCAGCAATGGCTGAGGGTGGGAAATTTGCTCTCCTGTACTAAATACTGTTAGAATTACATGAAGCAGGAGCACAGGGGTGTGCTGCCACTTGCTAGCTCATGAAGAAAAGGCTGCATAATCATTATATACTACACACATGTATTAATAAAATAATTTCTAAGGGCTGCACGATTTTCAGAGGCCCAGACTATGTTTTGTTGACTGTAGAATTCCTAGGTCTTAGTGTAGTGCTTGGCCCATAGTAGATGCTTAATAAATACAAATGAACAAATCGATATAAAGTATTTGTTATAATCTGTTAACCCCCAAATTCCAGTGCCATCTCTCATATTTCTTCTTTCCTTCCTCTCTTTCATGGAGGACATCATTTTTGTTTCTATTCAAGAAGATAAGCCGGCAGCTCCCCAGCACGACTGCTTGCTCTTTTTGCCTGGCACTTCTCCATGTGGAATTTATTCTTGCTTTCAGCATTTGGCCATTCATTTATTTGCTGAACCCTAACTTCACATTGGTAGGGAACCAGGCATTGTGGTGGGTGGTGAGAAATGATGCTGAGAGAAAATGAAGATGGGCCCTGGGCTTTTGGACCCTGTGGTCACGTTTTCCTTGAAAACTTGAATCTGAATGACCTATTCCAAGACTTTTTTCTTCAGTTAAGTGCAATCCAGTCTAATGACATTTGTATGAATCCCTAAAGCTTTTTCATTAATGAATTTTCACTACTTATATTTTTCAGTACTGAGATTCTATTATCTATCAATTTGTTGTCTATGACTCTATTATCTATGTGTCTATCTATATATCTATGTATCTACCTATCTCTGTCTCTCTGTCTCTGTCTGTTTGTCTCTGTGTCTCTGTCTCTGTCTCTGTCTCTGTCTCTGTCTCTCTCTCTCTCTCTCTCTCTCTCTCTCTCTCTCTCTCCATACTTGCCCTTGCCCTTTTGTGCCATGTCTAAGTTTTCTGTAAATCCCCTCCTCTTTAATATCAAACTCAGAGTCTTTCCACTGAGCTACATCCCTAGTCCCCAATTTTTTCCCTAAGTTTTATATTTTGAGACAGGATATTGTTAAGTTGCTAAATTGCCACAGCTAGACTTGAACTTTTGATTCTCCTGCCTCAGCCTTCCACAGTGCTGGGATTACAGGTATATGCCACCACATCTTGCAAGTTTTTCATAGTCTTGAATACAAACATTTGGTATAGTATCCTGCATACAGTAGGTTACAATATTCTTGGACTTATGGATTAATGGTCAGAAAAAGGAATAGCTAATGCTTACTTAGACACATCTGAAACCAAATATGGAAGAAGAAAAAAATGTAGGCTGTATTTTTATTATTTATTTTTTAAAATCTTTATAGAGACAAGGTCTCCCTATGGAGTTCAGGTTAGCCTTGAGCTCACTTTGTAGCCCAGGCTGGTCTCAAACTTGTAACTATCCTCTTGCTTCCGCCTCCCAAGTACTGGGGGATGACAGGCATGTGTCACCATGCCCGGCCAGAATGTATTTTTAAATATTTTTACATTGTGGAAAGAGTCAGAAAGAAAATGGACATCACTTACAGTGGGATGTTACTGGGGAGATACTGGAAAAAGGGACATACGGTGTCTCCACTATGTGGAGCGTGTATTAAGGATGGAAGGCTATAGAAGAAAGGAATGACCTCTGTCTGCTAAAGCCCTACAGATTAACTAGGAGGGAGAGCATACACACAGACCACAATGGATAATGACATAGATCAGGGAGATAAGAAAGAATTATCATAGGCAGCTTCGCCTCATGGTTCAGCTAGAAGCCCGAAGGGAGTCCAGAGGAGGGAGGACCTGTCTCCCTTTGTGAGCAGCCAGAACAGACTTATGAGGGATACAGGGTGTGACTTCATCCTTGGTGATGGGAAGAACATGACAGGCAGGGGAGGAACGTGGTCTTTTGCTGCATAAGAACAGGAAGCCACAGGCGCATCTGCTAAACAATGGCTCCACCAGATCACGTCTAGGGAAGGGATCATGTGGAAGAGTATTGGGGAGAAAGCCAATGAACAGGGAAAGACTAACCATGCATGAGGACTAAAAAGACACCAGGATGAAAGTCGCAGTCTCAACTGGGAATGAAGCCAGGTCAGGGTGTGACCCGTGAAGGGCTTCCACTCTACTCAGGAACCCTTACAGTGTACCAGTTTCTGGTTGCACAATGAAAGAAGTTGGATAATAATCACACAGAATTAGAAGTCCATAGTCTAGAATTTAAACACAAGGGTGAATTCAAGGCTGTATATAAATACTTTTTTTTTAAATGGTGGATGAAAACAGGCCCCTGGAATTTAAGTCAGACACCCTTGGAGTCTGCGTTAGAATTTTTGAGGGTATTTAAATATTTGACAAGGCATGAAATGATGCTGAAGATCTTACAAATATTGGCACCATGCCCCTGGCATAGATCGGGCTCTGTCTGAGTGAAAGGGGCCACCATGTGGCAGTGTTGCCCCATGTGGGCTTACCTCTAACATTATACATGCCAACCAAGTCTCAGTAGATTTCCAGGCTACTTCGGGCAAAGCAAATTCTATGAACTTCAATTATAAAGCAGTTAAGAAATGAGATCAGGAGGCAGATTGAGAGGAAGATCTCAGGATAGGAAGCTGGTGGGAAAGGAGAATGGGAAGACAGGAGAAAGGGATACAGGCAGGGAGGGATGATTGGGTCAGGGGGTCTCTGCCCTGGGGAGACAGAGGTTTGCATGGTTCTGTGAAGCAACAGGGAACAAGTACAGAATGGGTGGGTTGGGCTTGGGGTCTAGTGAGTCAACTTAACAGAGGAAGACAGCCAGAGGAAGGTGAGGAAAGGCTTAAAGGTCACATGCCTGTGCCAGGGACATACAAATATGATCTCTTTCATCCTCCCAGTGGTGTCTACCACATGCATCATTATCCCCTTTGTGAAGATAAACAAACTGGGGCTCAGCAAAGTGAAGTCATTTGCTCAAGGTCACACAGGCAGCTACAAAATGACCCAGGCAGGTCTCAGCCAGGTCTGCAACTGTCTTCTTTCTACCATACCACGTTGGATTCCCTAGCACACTGTCCAGCTACCAAAGACCTCCAGACATGTTCACTGAAGCTACTGACTCATCTTTTCCATGATGAAGATCAGACAGTAGTGAAGGAGAATGAAAATTGAATTAGGGGCTGAACAAAAGAAAGAGTATTTGGATAGGACTTAATGGAGCCTGGGAAGCATTTGAAGGTCAATAAAAGGGATGCTGAGCATGTCAGGGGGATGTTCCTGCAGCATGTAGGTACAAACCTCCAGGTCAAATGAAGATGGAGTGTCTACTGCTCTGGCATGTGCTGACTTACCCTAATAGGGTCAGGGCTCTGGGCCTCTGCATGCAGGCGGCAGTGCTGGGAGGCCCTGCTGGGCTATTCCCGGATGAAAGTAAGCTGCACTTGAGCAGTGCTGTGCTGACGTGACTGGCACACACTGTTAGCAGCCTGGGTGCAGATAAGCAGAAAAACACTGGGTTTCTACAGGAGCAGCTCTCGACTGGCTTTCTGCAGATTTATCTCCTTTTGAATAACCCCACCTCCTCCTCACTACCTCACTGGCATCTTTGCTAAAATAGGCTCACCTGGCTTTTGCCCCCTGCCCATTCTCAAGCTAAGAGTTTGATTTTTTAGCACCTCACAGTGGATTTCAGTAGCATTTCCCAGCTCTGTTCTGGTCCTAATCTTCCTTCAAGACTCTTAGCAACTCTTTCAGAGGGTGGGGCCTGGATGTTCAGGTGAAGATTTGGGCTTCCCTAGGGTTACTGGTTCACATCAAAGCAATGAGAGCAGCCAAAGAACTTTCCCAAGTTGTCACAGTTGCTTTTGACTTCATATCTTAAAAAATATTTCAGCATTTTTTCCTCAATGAAATAAGGCAACATCACCAGAGGATGTAAACACACACACACACACACACACACACACACACACACACACACTCACACCATGGCAACAAGAAAGTCTGTAGCATTTTTTGATAAAAATTCAAATGCTTTCAGCATAATTGGATTAAAGGACATGAACAACTGGCTTTGTAGGCTCTAATCCACACCTGAGCCATGTGGATTGATAAAGGAGGTTTAGCTAACTTACTGTCTTGCACCAATAAAATAAATCAGGCCATTAAACATATATATATATATATATATATATATCTTTATCGCCATTATTCTGAATAGATTGTATGCCAAAAACATGCTATGAATTTTCTAAAAGTGACAAACCTGGCAGTATTTTACAAATAGTTACAGTATTATTACCATACGTTCTGGCTTGGGAGTAGTTCCTGAAGTTTGACACAGGCTGGTTGTGGTTTGAGGTTAGTGGGTTTTGATTTAGAAATTCCCATCCACCACTTGGCAGAGCATTGC